TATAATACTGGTCCGTATCTAAAAAAATGAAGTTGATGAAGAAATCTAACGAACGAAACGTCTTATCACAAATTGGGAGTTCCTCTGACTTCTTTATATTAATAGAAACGGATGCGGTAGATCTTGAAAATGAAATTTGACATTCCTAGTTTATAGTGGATATTTCAAACAAAACCACTGATATTCTTGATCTGATAAAGATATTTTTCTGGTTTTCCGAAATAGCAAACTTTTGTACCATTCAAACGACTTTGTAGATCTCATCGTTTCCAAGATGGCAATAGGGGAATAAGCTAAAAGAAGCCGTCAGTACACAAGTTATTTTCGCCTTCCTTTCATTTTTTACAAACAAATGAGCAAAGACGTGTAGCTGAATTACCTCTTGAATACATGATGGACTATCTGTACGCGTAACTGTGAAAGCAATTTATTTGTCTGATCGGTAGCGACCAATCAGTGTCATCAGTATGAAACCGTTCTTACCGAAACATTTCTCGATAACTCTCCTCTTTCATCTGAAACATTTAATGGAAGGTCAATGTGATTCATCGACTGTATGTTTCAATTGTGATCAAAATTATGTTTCTAGAATGATTTTTTTTCTCTCAGACTCAACGAATAAGTGGAGATGGACGTGGCTGGGTGGACATGGGCGATAGTCCCGTATTTGGTACGGACAGCTACAAACTATTCAGAGGATGCGCCAGCACCATTAACTAACGACTACTACTCGTGAACATGGGAGGATTCAAATCGATTTTCAATTATTGGAACAGGCACACTTGAAGATCGATTTCGAGCTATTTGATCTCTCTTCAGTGCAAGTTAGTGTTCTACATCAACACGAAGTCAAAGATTTCCCATAACTAAGAATCAATTTTTTTTAGCTTGGAACAAAGCTGAAGCGAATGATGAGCAACATATCTATCATTGCTTCCTCTGCCTGTAGACGAGGTACAAGTACTTACCAACCACATATCCGAATGGCATATATCCTCGTATGAGAAAATAAATTTCACCTATTGTAAGTGGGCATACTTCAAGACTGACAAATCATCTAAAGGAAAAATTCCTTAAGGCCAGTCTTCTTACCTATACTGTAGGTAAATGGACTGACACCTATCAGAAAATAACTACTTATCTGGTTCATACCACCAAGAGCGTTGGATTATATCAGGCAGGGATCAGTGCAGGACTTTTTACAGAAGAAATTCCTGCATATACTTTTGGCATCACAACTGCCGGAATCGGTTTTCAATTATTGAAACGGGTATACTTGCAAACCGGTTTAAGGCTATTTGGCTGCTCGTCAGTGGTGTCCTACATCAACACGAAGTCGATGATTTCTCATAACTGAAAATCAAATCCTTCCACAGTATCATACCCAAAACTGAAACAAACGAGAAGTAACATATCTGTCATCGCCCCTCTGTTTGTAGACGAGGTACTAACCAACCGCGTATCAGTTAAGTCTAGCAGTGCATTTATGATTTAGTCTAGCAACACTGATGAGATTTTTGGCGGCTCTGGTTTCAAATAAACATATTCGATAGTTTGAACCGTCGATAACAGGTAATCGACAGTTTTTACAATTGTTTTTTCACTGTTCAGATACTCTGTTCTATATGACTTATCTGCTCGATTCTGACAAATGAGTAAAATCGAAATTCGAAAAAAACGTGTAGATACCCATTATTTTCACATGTTTTACTCTTTGTTGTTAGTTGGGTGCGACAGACTGACCGAGTCAGGGATTTTTCATCGTCTTCTCAAATCAATACAAATACACTTCTCCCTTTGAGAACTCACGTGGGGCTGCACAACTGATTCAGAGGCTTTTTTGTTCATAGTGATGGTTTTATCTATCATCCAAATTATATGTAGAAAACATGCATCAAACAGAGGGCTGCTCCGTTTCTGGACATTTTGTTTTTGAGAATCCACCTTCAGATATTTTCCAAGTAACTACATTACTTTTCTGCCAGAGGATACCTCTTCCCAACTGGAAGGCTCGATAGTACATGAACATGAAGGTTTTGAATTGATTCGATAACACATATTCAAAGAAAACAAGTCCAAACCACTAACATCAAAATATTTGCTTGATGATCCATGAATATATCAATACTCTTGAAGACATTCCAAGGATTCGATTTTTGGGACACCTTATATTATTTTTGAAAGGAAAAGCAAAACCATCGATTTGGCAGCTCATTTTTCATAACTAAGTGTTATGGGTACCTATTCCAACATAATGACCCAAATTATAAAATAGTAAACTCTCAAGTTTTTGAAATGTTACGTCGTCCTTAAATTATTTTGAATTATGGCAAATATTTTGGTTCTATGGTCGTGTGCAGTTACTAAAATTCAATGGAGTAAGTCTCCTCATGTATCTCGTAGATCAATGGCTTGAATGGATGAAGTTAAAATTCTGACGCGTCCCATATAATTAAAAATTGAATAAATATCAAAGAAAAAAATTTCAGAAACGTTATGATATCTTTCATCTAGTATTATTCTTATCACATCTCAAAATTCAGTGTTGAAATTTATTTGATATCAATTGGATATTTTTCAGATATTTTTTAGGGATTCCAGAAGCAAAACCTGGTCAATTGCACTTATATCGAGTAACATCCGTACCTCCTCGTACTGGAGCAACTTTACCACCTCCAGTATGTATTACTTGTGTTAAGGAACCTACTCTCACATCAACGTCACTAATATCTTTTGATGAGGACATATACAGAATTAAAACGACCAACTGGGATGAAGGCGATGATGATATCGCGATCACAACGCCCCCTAGTAAAAGAAAACGAAAAAAACACATGGTTGACACTAACGAGTCTCCATGTTTATATCATAATGCCATCTTCAGTCCGAATTCAGCTTATTATGTTTTGGAATGCCTAGGTCCAGGAGTACCTTCAAGTAGTTTGTTCAAAGCTGTCATGCTAGGACCAAAACTGCTATTAACCCTTCAAAACAATACAGAATTGAGAGAGCGAGTGGCAAATATGGCTATGCCCCAAATCAAAACATTTCCTGTACAAATATCTGGAGGGTAAGTTCAGAATTTCATCATGAGTTTGAAAACGTATCATGATTCTGGTTCTCAGATATCTTTTTAGTGTAATTATTCATTATTAAGATTGAACGCTTTTCACAATTTCCTTCACTTTTATATTTCAGTTCTGCAGTTTTTCATATTTCTGACTCTACCTACTACAGTTTAGTGTAGGATTTTCAATATTTATAACGTTTAAAAAACCGCGACATATATGCATACGATTTCTTCAACAGAAACAACAAGTGACTTCAATAGAGTACCCATAGTCAAATCAAACTATTAATGTAAGGCTAGATTCGACTATTCAATCCTTACTTCACTGAGTTGATTTAGTAGAGGACCAAATATAACTATTTTTGTTTTTTTTTTCAGTGGAAACAAGCCCTGTGTGACTTGTTTCATAGAGAACACGAAAAGGGAAATATTTCATAGACTGAGTGTGAGATTTGAGACTTTTTCATATTATTTTTTATATAATATTTCCAATCCGGATATTTTTGTTATAGTGATGGAGCCTAGCTGGAGTTACATTGGCGTTCAATTTTTTGAGTCGTATCTCTGGCTATTCTGCCTATTCTGGAGGCATTTATGAAGTGATCAATTCACTCGGGAAAACTCTGGTCGAATACTCATCTCTTTTATCGTTGGTAGAATTTTTCTTCAGAAAACTGTCTGTGTGTTTGGTTCCTGTACATCCATGACCCAATATCCCATATCCACGTTCGTTCACGAAATTATCCATGAAGATGATAGTTCCTTGAGTTCCATGTTCCATTGTCAAATGAATTTTTGGGTTAAGGGAGTTTGGATATGATAGAAATTCGTTGTTTTTTTCACCGTCCTTCTATACCACGAATTTGCCATTGAAGTAACGCGGTCAACAATATGTTTCATAGTCGCCTATACTTTCTTCACTAACAACACGCTGGATATTGAATTTTATCCGACAGAAATTTATACAATATACCGTTTCTTCCTCATTTGGGGCTTTGTTCACGAGATGGTGCTGTTACTAGTTGATTATCTATCTCTTGGAAGACACAGCTGTTTGGGTTGGATCTTTTCTGGAGTACTTTGAAGTAATACCTCGAAACCGGTCTGAAGGTGATCTGACCGGAAAAGTATCTGTTCCTGGGCATTCATTTACCAGAACCTACTGTGTAGGTAAGTTGATATCTCTCCTCGATATAGTCTTCATCATTTTGATTTCTGTATTGGGACGTTTTCTATTGCTTGGGACTTTGTGCACGAGATGGTGCTGTTACTAGTTGATTATCTATCTCTTAGAAGACACAACTCTTTGGGTTGGATCTTTTCTGGAGTACTTTGAAGTAATACCTCGAAACCGGTCTGAAGGTGATCTGACCGGAAAAGTATCTGTTCCTGGGCATTCATTTACCAGAACCTACTGTGTAGGTAAGTTGATATCTCTCCTCGATATAGTCTCCAGACTCATTTTAATATCTTAAATTTTTTGATGACGTATCCCGAGTCTTAATTGAATTAATATATTTTTCTGTGAGAAACTGAAGTAGGATAATTAATTTGGCCTGCTCATAAGTTGGCGTCTTCTGTATGTACCAAAATTCGTGTTCACATCGACGACTCTGACTATTCCATCTTTCCCTGGCTTGGTATCGATTTTGCCAAGTGGCGAACTGTTTCAAGGTAGTTTATTATCAAATAATACAACACCATTCACCTGTAGAACTGGTTTGATTTTCTGAAACCATTTCGTTATCTCTTTGGTCAAGTAGTTTCATCCATCTTTTTTTCTGCAAATATCCACATGCCTTCCACAATACTCTGAGGATCAATGAAAAAATGACTCTTGACTGTCAGAAGAATCATAATGAGTGGTCGCTGTTGGATATCTATTTCGTTTCACATAATATAATATATCAGACTTTCGGTCCTGGTGTTCTTTCCCGAAAAGTTATTCTCAAGATGAAAAGAGAAATGAAAAGTTCTATGTTTTTTACAACTTTCATTTGTAACTAACGTTACTGTAGTTTCGTCCTATATGGACATTTTCAAACTTAAACAATAAACTTAAAAAATAAATTTTCAAACTTTAACAATAAAATAAAAGTTTATTGTTTAAGTTTGAAAACGTCCATTTTGGACGAAACTGCAGTAACGTTAATTACAAATAAAAGTGGTAAAAAACAGAAATTTTCATTTCTTTCTTTCTTCTACCACGTAGTAACGGCTACATCCATCAATTTATTCTCAAGGATTCCTCAACAGATCACCATTCTCTACCATGCTCTCCCCATACAAGGACTTCTTGGTGAAATAAATTTTCATTCTATTTCTAAATGGACATATTCTTGAATTGAAGGAGTTATATTTTTAGGAGTGATTAGTTTTTGATGATTGCATGATCTACACAACCATGTACAGAGTTACTTCCTTCCTTTCTTTGGAAGGCTCCCTCATCCTTCTTTTTTTCTGTATCAAGATGGAGTAGTAGAAAGACATATTCTTCTTTCATCAATTTTCCATCCTTTGTTCTTGCTCGTTGAATTCTGCACCAGAAGCATCTGTTTCACTTGGTTCAATGCTAACTTTATACCTCGATAAAGATGTATTGGAAGTCTTAGTAAGAAGTCTTAGGGAAAAGTGAGGATACTTTCCGCCCAAAATTACAGGTCTTCTTTGACTTCATCGACTAAAACTGAAGATTTGTTAGGTTTTCAAAATCACTACCTCGAATATCTGTAAAATGGTTTAGTGAACCCCCAATAGATTTCAACTGAGTGGGTATTTTGATCATTCAGACACCTTCTCTACTGGTATTTTGCACTGGATTTCCATTGAATGATAGTAGAACGATTATTTCTCAATATTTTTGCCAATTATTAGATAGTAGACACTTTTTTCTCTCATTGTATTTATAAGCCGCCTTTGGTAATCTGAATATATCACAATGATTGGTCATATCGGAAGATATTTTCCAGTGGTACTTTCATGAATATTAATTCATACAGTTTTGGATTGCTCTGATAAATGGCAATAGTTTCATCATTTTTCTTGAACTCAATTTTCTCATAGATGAACTCCACATCAGCCACATTCGTTTGTAAATTTTACGTTTCAGTGTTCATGTGCACTCCAAAGGCTGTATCCTATGAGATATTTTCCGATAGTAACTGTTTTATGTGATTTTGCACCTCATCGTCACTATGAACTGCTTTAAGTGATTGTAAATCTGGAGTTGACATAGGAGAGATTTGATGATCGTTCGATCGTTGAAGTCATTCGACATTATTTACCTCTGACAGTGATCAAGTTCTTCAAATTCTTGTTTCAACTCACTTTGAATTATAGTTTTCACGGTGTGTGATGTAGCACTCTCTCTCTCTGTTTTCTATCACCTGATTTATTCAAGATTTTCCTCCAGTTTTGGCTGATATTGTGTTATTATTGGCTTCTCCCGAGTGCTGATTGATCACTTAGGCGACTGATTTTAATATAATTGACTTCATTTCGAACTCCATTGAAGTGTCGTCTACACTAGGGGCCGTTCAAGTATCACGTAGTGCAATTTCTTCTTCAGGTTCCAAGCTCAAGTACGTCTGCATCTTCCGCCTGGTCTTCGCGAAGATGAAATTACACGATATCCTTTAGTTGTTCAAGTATATGGTGGACCTGGAAGCCAACTTGTGACGGAAAGGTGGAGGGTCGATTGGAACACTTATTTGACTGGTCATAAAGACTTCATTATTGCTCAAATTGATGGAAGAGGATCCGGCGGCCAAGGACATGAAATTCTTCATAAAATTTATTACAAGTTGGGTTCCATAGAAGTTGCCGACCAATTAGAAGTGACTGAGTAAGTTCAATATTTCAATATGTTTCTCAAATTTGATAATAAGAATGAATTCGGTGAAAAATATTTCCGACTATATCAAAAGCTACGTTATATTTATAATTCACCTAACCCCTAGTTTATAATAATGCAAGGTAAGGTAAGGTGAGGTAATGCACAGAGGTGAGGTAAGGTATCCATTTTTTTACGTTCACGAAAAAGTTAAGTATGAAGAATTCTCATAGTGTTTATAGTTGTGGTAATTTTTTCGTTGGCAGGAATGCATAAACAAATATTGCCATTTCATTTCCATAATCTTGACAGCAGCAATCATTCGTATGAAATAAATAATAACTTTCATTTCTATAATAATATGGAAGACGCACATTTTATATCAACAATAGAACAATAGGTACCCAATAATTTATTATAAGAAAGATGAAAAAATTTAAAAACAAATTAATGAAGGAGAAGTCATGGCAGGTGATTGCTAAAGTAGTAGGGCTAGAGGAGCAATGTCAAAGGCGATAGATATAAAGTTTTAAGAGACAGATATACCAAAGAAAAAAAAGAAGTGGCTCAGTGCGGAAAGTCTGGTACCGAAGCAACTGATAGAAGAGAATGGCCTTTAATCAGGGCAATGTTATTTTTGGATGACCACATACAACCCAGAAGAATATATATGTATATTGAATACTGATCTTAATTGTAATTTTGAAGTTTATTTTTTTGTAGGACCGAAAGTAATGTACCCAATACAGGCAGTAGTTCGCAGATAAGCTGTGCATCGAGAAGCACAAGTATAATTAAAAAGGATGAAACAACTCGGGATCCACTCCCCATTATTGTTGATTCCCATGCTAGTGAAGCACAAGAAAATGAAGGCTCTCGGTTTGAAGTTGAAGTGATAGAAACTTCCGAAAGTGTAAAACCACTCGAATCTTTCAAAAACACGTATTCAAATATTGAAAAAAGAAAATGGGAAGAAGATATTTTGGAAGTTGTCACAAAAATTACTAATTCAATTACTACCCAGCCAAATAAACAAACAGATTCAGACCTAGCCTTTGGGGATTATGTAGGTTTAGCTTTCAAAGGCGTTACAAATAGAAAAATAAAGGCGAAACTGAAAACAAAAATTACATAACTTATAAATTACTCCTTATGTAATGACTCACTAGGTTTTCAACTAATAATTTTTGTTATAAATTTTATATGATACGCAGTTTTTGCTTTCTTATACTGTTTTATCTTTTTCTTGATATAGAATATTTCAAATTTTTGGTGATAGATAAATTTTAAGTTCTTCTGATATAGAATATGTTTGAAATTTTTATATGATTTTCAATTTATTTCTTGTTTTTTTTGTGTTAGGTAGGTACCTACTGCATTTTTGTTTTGATTATTTTGCGACAATAAGAATTTGAGTTCCTCATGTATTATTTATTTACTTGTCACAAACCTAGAGAGTAGATACAATATTTTTTGTTCATAGGAATATAAAAAAACAAGTGGGAGAATAAAAATTTTTATGTAAAGATCAAATTTAAATATTCTTTCGACAAAGTAATAGAAATATCACTTGAAAATGAATTATAATGGAAAGACTAGAACTCACTTGGAAGTGAAAAGTGTAATACTTTACATAATAAAGGAAACAAAATTTGTAAATCGCATCAGTGACGAGTCTCAATCGTACCTCTAAAGATATGGGTATATTGTCTAGGCAGCTCTCCTGTTTCAGTAAGAAAGTAATCTGTTAATTAATTTCTCATTTATTGGGCGTATTTTGCTGAATTATTGTTTGTAAATAGACGGCCTACTGATTTTAATTCATCTGATATACCCCTCCAGTTCCCAGGCAGTAAAATACCTTCTGAATATTTTCTATATGTAAATTCACGTGGTGCATATAGTTTTTCCTGTCAGTAATTCTGTTTTTTTTTTAATTGTGGAGAAATACACAAGCCTTGACTACATCGACACTATTATCTAGTTCATTCAGTATAACCCTTTAATATTTGCCAACGAGCATCCAGAATTACGAAAGCATTTTCAATAGTGATTCGAGCTCTTTGCAGTCGAAAATTAAAAATCAATTTTTCATCTGACAAGTTACTAACAGGATATGGTTTCATTATATATTTTTTTAAAGGAAAAGCATCATCTGCAACCAGAAAATACGGCATCATTATGTTGGTTTCATCAATATTTTTCAGTTGAGGTATACTGGCTTCATCATTTTCAAATAAATACCAAATGATGAATCTTTGAATACACCACCATCACTTGACATCCCATATTGTCCGAAATCCACCATAGTGAAGCGATAGTTTGCATCACAGGCAGCCAGTAAAACTAAACTATGAAACTTTTTATAATTGAAAAACATTGAACCTGAATTTGCAGGTTTATTTATTGCCACATGTTTTCCATCTAGAGCACGAAGACAATGCGGTATATTCCATTTTTTCTGATATCCTTTTTCAATGCTCAGCCACTTGGCTTCAGTCGTTGGTGGTTTGAGATATATTGGGGCTGAATTTTTCCACAGAATACCGCTAATTTCCTCAATAATTTTATGGATTGTGGTATTTAACAAATGGTATGCCCACGCTACCGACTGTTGCGAAGTTTCTTGCGATAAATAGCAGATTTTATTTTTTGTTAGATACATACTTACAATTTCAACAATTCACTTCACTTTAGTGTTATAGCCAATTTCTTTTCTGGAGATATCGATCCATATCTTTTTTTAACCCTTGTGTGACTGACAAAAAAAACCTTATATTAACGCGATAGGTACCCGGGTACCTCAAAATTAATAACACATTTAAGAGTAAAGTATTAATTTGTGGTGAGTTTGGTGGTAGGTATATATTTGTTACATTGAAACCACTTGGTATACCTATTTATTTATTTTTACGTACGCCACTCTTCATCAACTCGGTATCAGCGTACATTTGCAAGTTGAAACTTCTCTGAGTAATACCTTACAACGCTGAGCAGCACACGAGACTACGCGACAGGCCCGTCTTCAAATCGTTAGTTGATTTGAAATTCATATTGAGTGAACAAGTGTCAGTACTCTTAGTTGTTAAGTAGTTAGTTAAGTATGACTGATAGTGAAGCTGGTCCAAGTAAACGGTACGGTGTATTTCAAAACCAGTGTAAAAGAGGCCGTGGTATGTAGACACATATTCACTTTTTTTGTTTATGGGATTTGGCATAATAAAGTAGAAAGATAAAAAGAAATAACAAAAAAATATCTAGATGTGTGTGTGTGAGAGAGGGAGAGAGTGTTTGTGTGAAAGAGTTTTATTTCCTAAAATATGTTTTGAACGGTATGAGATGTTAATTTCAAATTTTATAAACAATAAGAGTGTATAATTGGTTTTATAAATGTGTGCAGTGTAATTTGGTCTTTTATAGGCTTACTAAAGCTGAATTACATGCAGCACTAAAAGAATCTGATGAAGAACCGTTCGTTGCTTCTGATAAGGACGATTATATTCCAGAACAAGCAGATTCAGAATGCGAGGAATCTGATGTAGAAAATGAACCTGTAATTGAGCAAGAGGAAGAATATGATTCGGATGAAAGTATTGAAGAGGAACCAGCGCTCACACAACCTGTAGTTTTTGTAAGCAAAAATAGTACTCAGTGGCGTGATACTCCACATCCACAAGCTCAAACACTTAGTCGTAATATCTTGCGTCAAAAAGATGGAGCAGCAGCTTTCAGTGCTTTGTTTACGGCTAAAGAAATTCTTAAAACCAACAATGCTAAACTAATTCAAAGGTACAAAGCTTCTGAACGACCATCACCAAAGGTTTTCAAGCCATTTACTGACAACGAATTTGAAGCATTTTTAGGAATCCTTCTTGCAGCTGGTGTACATAAATCTAATAGGGAACATATCACTGAAATGTGGAAGACGGATTCCTTACCTCCTTTTCGTGCGGCTATGAGTCGGGATCGGTTCAAAATGTTTATTCGATTTGATAACCAAAACACACGTGCTGAACGTGCAAAAATCGCTCCAATTCGCGATATCTGGACAATGCTGAACAGGAACTTGGAAAAAAGTTATAAGTTATATGAATGCATAACAGTTGATGAACAATTGTTTCCTTTTAGAGGACACACACCCAGTACATACCTTCGAAACCGGCAAAATATGGCATAAAAATTTATTGGGCTTGCGATGCTTCCAATGCTTATCGTTTACAAGGTCAAATTTACTGTGGGAAGCCACCAGACGGCAAACGCCAAGTTTGCAACTGGCTCATAACTTGATGTCGTGGGATTTGACGTTAGTGGGAACCGTAAGGAAAAACAAAACGTTTTTGCCTCCTAATATGCAGGCGTCTAAAGATAGAGCCATTTATTCAGCTAATTTTGCAATTACAATAGAATTAACTGTATGTTCATATGTGCCAAAAAAAATCAGTAATCCTCTTATCATCAATGCATATGACAGACGAAGTAGAGCAAACGGCCACTGCAAAACCAATCATTATCAAATACTACAACCAAACGAAAGGAGGCGTCGATGTGATGGACAAGCTGTTGACGGAGTATACAGTCAAACGCAAAACAAATCGTTGGCCATTAACGTTCTTTTACAATATGGTTGATGTTGCTGCCTTGTGCGCATATATAATATATATGGAGCACAACCCAAGGTTTAGATCGACTGATAAGCGACGGAAATTCCTGAAAGATCTTGCAAAGCAGTTATGTATTCCTGCTATAGAAAGTCACGTTACCATTTCTAAAGTGGTTGCGAAACCTTTTGTACGCAGCTCAATGGAAATAGTTCTTGGTCGGCACATAATCCAACCAGTTGTCAGGGATGAGCCATCTCGTGATGATTCTGGGCGTATTCCTGTGGTTGGTAGTTGCACTGCCTGTCGACAATTCAATCAAAGACAACGTAAAACCAGAAAACTGTGTCAAGTTTGCACAAAACAGGTTTGTAATGAACACTCTGTGAGCAAGGCAATATGTGAAACCTGCAC